GGTTTTGTAGAAAAACCAATGTCTTTAATCATATGACCACACAGTAGTGAACTCCATTTGCACCTGGATGTGCCTACAAGACTAAGTTATTAGTGAACACAATTATGCAACTTCAGTTATGTCTTTTGTTTTAAGGGAAATTAGACAATTTCCTATCTTCTCTTTTCTACCAGGCAAGGTCGTGGACACTCAGTGTCCCGGGTTGACCCAGCAGATGAGGACAACACCACAGGGCGTGTGGGAAGGGACGTGGCCCTTTGAAAGGTCCTCTGGAGTAAAGATTCCTGGAAACCTGACTCGACTCCTTTCTGATGTTACCTGAGAGAGAAATAAGACATATTTTCTTCATAGAAAGAGGGACTCTGTAGGTCTTTGGGACAATGGCCAGCTGAGGGGTACGTGTCTCTAATTAGCACATACGTCCTGTACAGGCTGGTGGTCCCTGTCATCAGGGTCTCAGAATCACCTTGATTAGTTTAGTCCAATGACCTGGTCTAATGGCAAAACATTTTCAACAATATCGCCCCCATTGCTCCCCAAGTCTCTTCTGTAAAACTCCAAACTGTCAGGGTGGTTGAAGCAGGAAAGGAGATCATAGAGGAACTGGAATTTGCATATAGTAAAGGTGCCCTGGTGGTTGTGATTATTGCTGGCCCATTGTCACAAATCAGGGAACAAAGGAGGCCTGTACTGTGACCACTCAGGGTCACTAAGGTGACTGGTCCAGACTCACACCCCATGTCCTCAGGGCTCTTCTTCCAGAATTTCACAGAGTAGGTTGTGCAGGCGTGTGCTGGGGTGACATTACTGATGTGGATGGAAAAGTCTAGGATGGAAAAGAGACTAGGCAGAGGTTAGAAATGGCAAGGAGGAGGGAGGTGGCCTGACGTGGATGGTGATGTAATCATTGTTAGGTGAAGAAAGCAGGAGGCAGGATGCTATGAACAGGATGAGCTACCTCCTTCCCTACTTCTTTCTCTAATGTGTATTTATGTCAAAAGACCTGTATTGGGGCCGGCCCTGTGGCGTAGTGGTTGAATTAGGTGCACTCTGCTTGGCGGCCTGGGTTCATGGGTTCAGATCCCAGGCACGGAACTACACCAGTCATCAGCCATGCTGTGGTGGCGACCCATATATAAATGGAGGAAGATTGGCAGATGTTAGCACAGGGCTGATTTCCTCAAGCAAAAACAGAGGAAGATTGGCAGATGTTAGCTCAGGAGTAATCTTCCACGAAAAAAAAAAAAAAAAGATCTACAAAGACATGTACCAAAATCTTACCAGGGATGACCCTTGGAGTGTGGGATTTGGGGGAGGGCAGCTTACTTCCAAGTTCTACTTTATATTTATGGACTTTTAGATTATTCTGTGATAAGCATGAATTACTACTTTTAACGTAAAAAAAAAAGATGAGGAGTCAGGTCAGTAGGAGTGGAGGCCTCGCCAGGGGTTCCACCTGTGTCCTGCTCCTTCTGGTGGGCAGAGGCCTCCAGGGTCTGGCGTTTGGTGACCGCCGGCTGCCCATCATGCTCCACCTGGCAGGTGAGCACCACATCCTCCCTGTGGGCAGATGAGTTCACCAGAAGCCAGCTCATCCAGTTAAAGGTCCCATCCTTGTTCTCTACGAGGGTCAAGGCCATTTCTGTTCGGGACACATTTCCGTTCTCCAACCAGGTCAGCTTTAGGTGCCGGGGGTAGAACTTGTTCACCTGGCAGGTGACGTTCATCAGGTTCCCTGCCGTGGGGTGTCGCAAAACCTCCAAGGTGGGCGGAACTGAAACAGCACAGGGCAGAGGCTCTGACATTATGGAACAGACAGATCACAGAGGAGGGCTCCGTAACTTAGCTCCCACCACCACAGATGGGAATCACCCAGGACAGTGCTAGGCATGCAGCAGGCGCTCAAACACTGAGAGGACTCTCTGCATATGAATGAAATCACAAAGCACAGTGCCAGGCTCACAGTAGGTGCTCAGGGACTGGTAGCTCTTTTAGGGTCATAAGCACAGCCCCTGGCATACAGTGGGAGCATAATAACTGTATCAAAATAAATGAAATCACCAAGCACCTGGGGGCTGGGCTTAGAGTACATGCTCAGCAACTAGAGCTGCTATTGGTAAAGTGGACGACACAACCTAGCACAGAGCTTGGCATGGGGCAGGGGTTCACCTGGCAGCTGCCATTCGAATGGCTGAGTGACCAGCACATCCAGGTGCCTGGTGATTGGGAAGGATGGTCAGGAACTAGATTCCGGGAAATCCAGGCCTGGAGCAAACAGCAGGGGGAGGAGCGGACTTGGGGGCTTGGGGGCAGATGGGGGCTTGGGCTGGGGTGAGGGGCGTCTACCTCGGAGGGTCTCAGACAAGTTGGCCCTCCCACGAAGAGGAGGGCCCCCCTGCAGGGTGACGTGGACCACCTCGCAGATGACCTGGGAGCGAAGGTCCCCCGGGGCCAGCACCACCTT